AAGTTATTCTCAAGAACAGAGAGCTACATTTATGAAAAATGTGCCCTTTAAGCAACTACCCACCTCAAAATGAAAGCTCTGAATCAAAATCTATTAGAACAAATGCAAAGCTTCCCACTGACTTTATTTAGCTTTGGACTTTGCTGACCAGAGTGGTTGAAAATCCATAAAGAAAGATTAATAGGGACAGAGCTTCAGTCGATCTAGCTGCATATAGTATCTTCAGCATCTGTTAGTATTGTTGGTGACCTTGGAGGAAGTGTGCAACAATCAATAAGGAATATGCAAAGCTGATAAACACACTGTTCAAACTCAATTTCAAGCAGTATGAGATTATAGGAGGGACTAAGCACAAGTTTTCATCTCATGAACAATGGATTTCTGTTCCAGCAATTAGTCTCACCCATATAACCTTTAATAAAGTTCTGTTTCAGTTCGAGAAGAGTTTTCTCAATGTGCTTGCTTCCTCAATGTGCACGTTTCCTTAATGCTAAATGTGCATTTGGTCTAAGGGCACTACAGAACATTTAAAATTGAGATGTCAAACTACTGAGAATGGGGGACTAGGGCAGATGTCAATGTAATCAAATGCGAGAGCTTGGAAAATTTAATGCAACTATTAGTTTGGGCAACAATTACAGTTTAGGATTACAACTCCCATGATCAAGGTATCTCCCCTGCCAGGTAAGTGTTGAAAGAAGATATAGAAAATTATAAAAATTATGAACTTAAAAACCAAATTACTGGAATGTGATAAAAGAATATTAGAAGAAGAGATTAAAGAAGAAGAAATTGCTGAGGTTATTAATAAACTGTGAAATGGTAAAACACTAGGCTATGACGAATTGGGTCCAGAATATTATAAACTCTTTAGTTCCATTTTGACACCTAAGCTAAAAATGCTTTATAATATAATATTGGAAGGGGAAACAATGCCACCTTTTTGGAAACATTCATTAACAATTCTTATTCCAAAACCCATCAAGGATTTAAAAGACCCGGGATCTTATAGGCCTATATATTTAATAAATCAAGACACAAAGATTTTTACTGCTATATTAGCAAATAGATTAAATAGATTTACAGCAAATTATATTAAAGTGGATCATTGTGGCTTTATAAAGGGAAGGCAAATGGATAATTTAACTAGGCAAGTTTTGAATATTATATGTGAGGTAGAAAAGGAAAAAACAAAGGCAGCTGTTCTATCATTATACATATTTAAGGCCTTTGACTGTGTGGAATGGCTAACATTAAAGCTGCTTTTAAAGGCTTGGGGATTTGGTAGTAGACTTATTGGGGTTATAGATCAGTTATATTTAGATAATACTTCAGAAATAATAGTTAATGATGGCTTAACAGAACGGATTTTTCTAGGCCTAGGCACAAGACAAGGCTGCCCACGATCACCACTATTGTTTTGTATGATTATAGAATTGTTAGCTAATGCAATAAGAAATGATTAATTAATTAAACAATTAGTAAAAATGATACAATTAAGACTAATTTATTTGCTGATGACTCATTATTAATAATTAAAAACCCATTAGAAAGTATGGATAGAATTAAAAATCATTTAGAAAAAAATGGGGAAATAACAGGATTAACTATTAACTGGCAAAAACACAAGTAATGATGTTTAATCACAACAAATATGAACAAGAAACATTTGTAAATAAATATGGTTTTAAAATGTGTAGTTATATTAAATACTTAGGTATAAATATACTCAAAGTGACTCAAAAATTAAAGGAGCAAATTTTAATAAATTAAAAAGTGATATTAAAAATAAATTCCAGGAGTACTCTAAATTGAATCTTTCGTGGTTTGGGAGAATCACTATTGTTAAAATGAAAATATTACCAAGAATAACTATTTCTATTTAGGATGCTCCCAGTACGATTAGAAGATGATGATTTTAAGTATTGGTAAGGATTAATTAATGGATTTTGTAATCAAGGTAAAAAAAATCAAGAATAAATAAAAGAAATTGGTATAAGACTCAAAAAAGTGGAGGTTTAGGTATTCCCAATATAAAAAATTATTATGTAGTAAATCAACTCAGATTTATTGGAGATATTATATATAATGAAGGAAGATTAATTTGGTGGGATATAGACTCTTCAGAAATACATGGAAATATTGAAAAATACTTGTTCAATGCAGTAAAAAGAAATATAATAAATCAGGTGAATACCCCCTTCTTAAGAAACATGATAAATGTGTAGAACAGATATAAAAAGAATTTTTGTTCTTTTACTTTGTAACTAAAATTAGTGACTGAAATAGAAAATTTCCCAGCAAACTTGAAGGGCTTTGTTGATTTGTTTAAGGATAAAAAAGTTGCCAGATTGAAGGATTGGATGGTTAAAATGAGTTCGAAGGATCAGATTATAGCTAAACTTCAAACTAATAAATTATCACGTTACAATTATATCCAATTAGATAGATGGACTAATGAGTGGTTGAGGATCAATGGCAAATGTAGAGAATGTACTAAGTATGAACAATTTCTATCATCACATGAAGACATGCAGGAGGATGCTTTGAAGAAGGGAGTAGGAAGTAAAATTTATAACCTAATTTTGGATCTGGAGGAAAATGAGATTGAAATAGAAGGATTAAAATCAATTTGGGAACATGATTTAAAGACAGAAATTAGAACAGAGGATTAGATAAAAATTTGGAAGATGAGAGTTCTAAGATTAATGTCCGTAAGAATAAAGGAGAATTTAAAAACAATTAGTTTAAGGTGGTACATGACTCTGGTGAAATTGAACATAATAAATTCAGACTATTCTAACGCCTGTTGGAAATGTGATGAAGAAATTGGCATGTTTTATCACATGTGGTGGGAGTGTAAATTGATTCAGAAATTTTGGAAATTGATTTTTACAGAAATTTGTGATATATGTGGAAAAGATATTGAATTTAACTCAAAAATTAATTTGCTGTCAGTTTTTGATAAGATAGAACTTGATTATTACTCAAAGGAATTGATTTCTTATTTTATGACAAGTGCTGTATTATTAATATGGAAATACAAACATGATATCAAATGAGAAGATTAGTATAACGAAGTATGAGACATTGTGTTAAATGACAAATTGGCTACAGTACTGAACTAAAGATGAAAAGAGGGGAAATAAGTTTAAGTATATTTTATGCTATTTGGGGTAGATTTATTAAATTTGTATTAGTGAAAGGAAAGGGAAAGCCTCTAAGCAAAAATCAATACAATTTTGGAAAAGAGGTTTGTAATAAAATAATTACTCCAAAGTGTCCCAGGGGTATGGGGATGCACTGGGTTTTAGATGTTTAGTCAGTACTGTATTTTGTATTGTTTTGTATTGATGTATTTGTTTTGGAAAATATATATTTTTAAAAAAGGGTTATAACTCCCAGAATCGAGAAGACAGCAAGACCAATGGCCATACTGGCTAGGATATTCTGGGAATTGTAGCCTCAGAGCAATTTTTCCAAGCTTCGGGGTGAGCACCACCCAAATGCCAGGCCATTAATGGTTTCCAAATATGTCCTATGTTGATATTAGGCCTAGTGTCAATAAATAAGTAAGAATTGTCTTGGAGAGAGCTGGTGCTGAGATACTTAAGCTACAGACAGTCTTATGTCCTACCACGCCCTTCTGCCCCAATGACAAAATATTTGAGAGCTCTGTGGCTGGATCTGTTATATGTCTTTATTTTCATGGTAAGGAAGCCATGGGATGCTAGAGATTTGCTTTCTTAATTTAATTTCCCCTCAAAGCTGTTATTTATTGTGTGAAGGAAAATATCTATTGCAGGAGTAATATCAGATGGGAGAAGGGATTTAGATCAGCAAAATGACATGGAGAAAACAGAACTTGAAAAAGCAAATGTTTGCAACTCTAGTTCCTAGGTTCTAAGAACTAGAGTCCTAGCTTTGCCCAGAAAAATATTTATATATCATTATTCTTACCAGATTCAGATACTTTCTGCTGCTATCTTCAAAAACATCTGGATATTCATGACACTGTTTGTCCTCTCTAGCAATAACAAAGCAGTTGTATTCTAACCAAGACTTTTTCCTAGTGTGTGCGTGTGAGACAAAGGTGCAAAGTGGTATATTACCATAATCTGTGTTTGGTCCTAAGGCAGAAGCTATAGCATGGATAGGATAGAGGGAAATTTGCAGTGATTTCCTGGAGCCATAAATTCTATGGGTTGGCTTTATTTCAGCTACAAACAGGCTAAAAGATGATAAGCATGGGTGATCCTGGGAGAGTACTGGGAGATCAATAAAGGTAGAAGGTAATGGTTTCCACAGCTGAGAAGTGGACAAAAAGAAAGTGGTTGGGTAAGAGATTAGGTAAGAAGATATTCAGATATTATCTGTGAGGACTGATGCTAAACTACCAATAAGAGCTGTGAGGTGGTTTCTATAAATAATGCAAACAATGTAGTTATTGGCAGTGTTTCAGTACAATAGAGGCTATGTTTCTGCTCTCCAGCAAGAGCTGCCCCTCTCACAGTGATTGATTCTGTTTTGTGCTTACATAATATATGCACTCTGGAAATTGTATCTGACACGGATCATAATCAAAGCCTCACAAATCGCCTTTGAGCATGAGTAAATTGGGGGAGGTGGATGGTAATTAAAAGTTGGTATTTTACTGGCAGGATTTCCTTCAGCTGATAAACTCAGCCCTTTGATGACTTTAATGACTCTTTAGGAGAACTCAATTCAGCAAACCACCAAAGCCAGGCAATTTCCCTGACCTATAACTGAACATATGCCAAATTTGTTTGAATTTTAAGCATGCACTCAAAGACACACACGCTTGTATGTGCCAAATTATGAACCAATTTCCTTGAGATACAAAAGCTAAAAATAAAGTTAACAATAAAGCTAAGTGTTCTCCTACCCTCTGGATGTGATAAAATGTAATGACCTTTAGTTTCCTTCCTTTCTAATGAAATTGCAGGAGGGTAACTGTAGAAAGCAACAATGGAACTCACTCTTTAGGAGGATTGAGGTCCTCTGGTCTGGCCTCAAAGAACTGAAAGACTTCATCACACTGTGAAATGTGAGGGGGAAGCTTCACCAATGCCTGTTACATAAGAAAAAGAATACTGTATTATTACAGAAACAAATGGAGTAACAAGAAAGAAAATATTGCAACGTTTTGACTCATGTTAACTCTGAGGTACCAGTAAAAACCCAGGAACTTAGACTTCAATGACCTTTAGATAATTAAACACAAAATTAGACTTTTACTGCTCAGCAACTGCTGGATAGCTCAGTGGTTTAGAGGTTGGGAGTTTGATTCCTCACTGTGCCTCCTTGACAGAAGCTGGATTCAGTGATCTTCCAGCTTGCAGTTCTAAGATGATGATTCTTATTTTTCAAATCCACTGTGTCCTGTCAGCAGACATCAGCATAACCAGTGATGAAGGGTGATCCAAATTGCGGTCCAGGAACATCTATAAGGCTATCAAATATCCACCTCTGCTTCAGTTGGTGGTCTTGCAACTATTGCAACATTAATTTATAATTGATTCCATGCTTTACCATGAGAAATGAAATGGTGACTGTCAAAGCAGCATTAACGACAGACAGGGTGGGTGGACTGGATATAAATTTAAGATCAGGGAAGGATCCCCTCCAGGCTTGGTTTGATTCTGAACCCACTTATTTCTTTTTCTGGCAGTCAATGGTATCTGTAAAGCTCCCATCCAACTACATTTTCTGAATGAATCAGTTTTCCCTCCTCTCAATTTACATTGCTGTACAGCTTTCATGTCCATACATAGCAAGCAGGAATACCATAGTGTGGGTCTTAATTGATATAGAGACTGAAATCCAGTTGGCGCTACTAAGTCATGTAAATTGTGATATCATCACCCAGCAACAGAAATCTTTAATTTAATTAAATTTAAATCTTCCTACACTCCTTAAGGTTCCAAGGCATCCTAGGGATCTTTTTTAGCCTGGGGAAGCTTTAAGAAGTCTACACATAGAGCGGGGAAGCCTTTCATATTGGGAAATGGCCGCTGGATCACTCGTCATGGGATTGATCTGGTGCTGGGACTGGCAGTGGTGATATTCTCTTATAATAAAGTCTTCCCTACCCTGTCCTGTGGCTCCCAAATGCTTCTCCAGTGGTGAAAAGGATTTATTCATGGAACTATGTTAATGTTTCAAATTGGTTTTAATTGCTTCTGGTTCGACTCCATTCTGAGATCTTATTATATATGGTACATTAAAATATTGTAGACAAATAACTAACTAACCAACTACAAGTGGACCCTCTACTTAAGGAATTAATCCGTATTGGAATGGTGGCTGCAAGTCGAAAAGTCTGTAGGTCGAATCTCCATTGACCTACAATGCATTGAAAACCGATTAATCCCACAACCAGCGGTTTTTATTCTATTTTTGTTCCATTTTGGTTTTTTTCTGGTCTGTAAGTCGATTCTCCGGCTGCAAGTCGAATCTAAATTTTGCAGCCAGAGAAGTCTGTAACTCGAAAAGTCTGTAAGTCGAGCCGTCTGTAAGTCGAGGGTCCACTGTAACTAACTATATAAAGGCAATTAAACATTTCAGCAAATATATATGGGAAATCCATTGTATGCATTAAGTGCAACATATATTGCAAATGTTTAGTTGGACTGAACTCGGCCACAACAGTTAATAAAGCTTATTTTTTAAAAAACTGAGAGTCCATTCAAGTCAATGAAGAAAGAGCTCTTTATTTTAGTTTGGCTTACGTTGCTGAGATGAAAGAAGAAAGCTGCTCTAGATAGATGGGCCCTGGAAGATTTCACTTCACACAAAGATAATGCCAAATCTGCTAACAGGGGAAATCTTCCAGGGAGATAAATTCCACTGGGCAAGAAATATTTATATGTGCTAATCACATGATCTTTCTGATTAGCTGCAAAACATTCAAGATGCTGTTGTTCACATGTGTGCATGAAAAGACATCTCCTTTGCTGTCCCTGTTTCCTCACCTTACCAGCTAAAGACTTCCATTTTAGAGCCAGAAGGAGTCTAATTATTGGAGTACGGTTGTTTACTTTAACTGCTACAAAGCAGTGAAACATCACACAGACCTTGGAAGGTCTGTTAAGCAGAGGTAACATAGATGTTTCTAGTTCTTGTATTGGAAAGGTATACAAAACCAATGACCTGATTCAGCCTTTCCCAGCCCTTTGGCCTCCATATGTTAGAGTAACCAGCAAGGATGCACATGGGAGCAATGGAAGTTGCAGCTGAACACATCAGGGTAATGTTAGGCTGGGGATTGTAGACCTACACAGTTTGATTTTTAAGTGATCTTTGTGATAATGTTTCTTCTTGCAGAAGACTGCAAACATACTTGGATCTGCATTGCTTCTTTGTGCAGACACATTTTTTTTCAGGAAGCAATCTGGAAGCATTATTTCCCTCAGTCAAATCCAGCTCAGCACCAATTTTATCTTAGATTGCCCACTATGTATATTGAAGATAGTGATCTACCAGCACATGGACATGGATGATTGTATTGACAGCAATTGGAAGAAGTTTTAAACTTCCAATGGAAACAAATTGTAGCCATTGTTCACTCTCCAAACACAACTGAAAGACAACATTGCTGTATGTTTGTCAAATATACATGGCATGGGGCAGACTCCATAAGTTTTATCTGTGAATTATGAGAACATATTGACACAGTTAAGAGTATCAGGACTAGAATCAGCAGGTACCAGACTAAAATCTCCATTCAGTTTTTGACATACTGTTTAGCTACTGTTTTAAAAGTCCGCTGTGTGTGTTGAGGAGTGGGGAGACCAAATTGCTGGGGGAGGGATTGACTTCAATTTTTTGTCTTCATTGGGGGCTCCTAACCTTCATCCCACAATTCAAATGCAGTTTTCCCTGGGAAAACTGGAATGCTCCTATGTTTTTAGCAAGTCTCGATCTACAGAAATCAAGACTTTACACTTTTCATGACAAGAAGCTAAATAATTTGATCTATATTTTGATCTAAATATGACATTGGTCTTAGAGAAACTACTGCAGGTATAGATTCAAAGGTTGGTGATCCTACTAATACTCTTAGGAAAGTAATTATAAGCCTTCACAGAACTTCCCAGTTAAATGCAAATCCTAAATCCTAACCTAGTCCCAGATATAGTACACCCATTTAATTAATTACAGAAGGGAGAGTCAACCTTCATGTAGACCTCAAAGATTTACTGGGTCTGCTCTGGTTGGGACTACAATTCTCATAATACATATAAACACAATTAATAGATATTTTCATGATCATATTCCATACATATGAACTACAGGCCTATAATGTCTAGCAGACAAGATGTGCCTGCTTTTCCAAAGATATTATGGATGTAATGGTTCTGCTAACAATACTGTATATGTATTTTTATCTTCATTCAAACCAGTGCATGGCTTTTCCAGCCCAAGTTGCAACTTGAACTTTGCCCAGTATTGATTAGACAACGGAAAGAGTAGACTCATTAAAAGGATGTGCTTTGGTAGGCTTCACTGACAGAAAAAAGTAAATAGTGCCAACATGAATACTGATTAGCAGTTTGTCATTGTTTGGTTTATCATTGCAGCCAACAGATATATAACAATTCCTCTAACATGTATTTCTCAGACAAATCTGTCATACACTGAGGAACTGTCTGCTTTCCAAATTAATAGCATCACAGATAAGTCACTAGCTTCTGGTTTCTGGGGGTCAGAGGTGACCCTTACAACTTTGGAGTGAATTCCTGTATTTTGAGCAAGAAGTCGCTTCAGTGAACCCATGACATTCCTTCTCATGAATATATTTTACCCGGTTCCTGACAGAAAGATTAATGCGAAGAATATAATGTGAGTGCCATGATTATGGATAGCCATTAGGCCTACATTTGCCAGACACTGCCTCAATTGTTGTACAGAAGGCTTGATCTCATAAGATAAAATTTCAGTTCTGTTTCTCCAGCCAAACGGTTCAGAATTAATGCTCCTTTTATTCATTCCTTAGACTCTTAAAAATCTGACTTAAGGCATCCTCAATATGCTTCCACTGTATTTTGTCCCCCAGATAAAAATGCTAAACTTATTTTAGAAACCTACTAGAGTTCTCTCCAGCCAACAAGGGATAACAGTGTCATTTGCTTTTATGTACTCACATGCAGGAGGTCATTCATAGGTTGATCTAGAACAGTTGAGTTCTAACTTTCTCTTACCTAAACCTTTGTTCACAGTTACATGAACACTGTTCTTTTCTTTGCATTTATTGATATTTTCCATTTCTATTTATGAGAACTTAGGAATGACAAATATCATCACATTGGAAGACTTTCAACCTTGGGAAGCAATGGTCTAACAGCATTGATATCACAGTAGGGGACAAAGAGTTAAACTCCTCCTACCTCCATGTTATTATCTCAAGTTGAACTGGATTCATTTAGGCTTACCTTGGATAGAAAATAATGTGAGATAGCTTCCAGATTCTTCTTTAGTGTGTTATTTGACCTTTGGAGTTATTAATTCATACATTGTTGGGAGAAGCCCCATAAACATACACTAATAATATAAAACAGTGCCTTGCTCTCCCATAAATACATTTGGCTCACTGTCTCACCCAGTCTTCTATTACCACCCTTTTAGAAAGTATGCTTACCCTGCAGTATTCGTCAATGGGTCTTAGTCTCTTCACAGCGACATCTCGAATATGACTTCTTCGGAAGAGGATTTTACCTGCATGGGAAAGATAGAATGAATGTGTAATTGGAAAGACAGTATTTGCAAAGAATTACAGAATAATGGTGTCAGAATAAGCCTATAAGGCCATTGAGTCAATCCCCCCTGCCCAATGCAGGAATCCAAGTTAAAGTATATCTAACAAATGATCGGCTGACTTTCTCTTGAATGCTTCCACAGTTGGAGTGCTCACCATCTTCTGAGGTAAATGTACTGCTCTAACAGTTAGGAAGTTCTTCCTGTTACTTGGTCAAAATTTAGTTTATCATAATTGGAGCACATTATTACATGTCCTTCCCCACCTCTGTATAATAACCTTTAAGAGTGTTATGATGTGTCCTTATAGTCTTCTTTTTTGCAAGGATAAACATGCTCAGATCTTTCAGTCTTTCTTCAAAGGGTTTGAGTTCTATTCCCTTGATATTCTCTGTTGCCCTTCTCTGAACCTGTTCCAGTTTGTCTGCATCCTTCTTAAACTGCAGTGTTCAGAACTGGACACAGTACTCAAGATGAGGCCTAAACAGTGCTGAATAGAGGAGGAACTTTTGTTAATGTAGTCTAAAAAAATTGGCCCTTTTTGCAGCCACATTGCACTGTTGGCTCATATCAGCTTGTGGTCTACAATGACTCTAAGATCCTTCTTGCATATAGTACTGATGAGCCAAGTATCCCCCATCTCATAACTGTGCGTTTGATTTCTTTTTCCTAGGTGTAGATGCATCCAGGTTGAAACTAAAGTACAGCCAACACCTTGTTAGTAACCTTTTCTCATTTCCTTGTCAAGCTGAATGAAAATGCATATGAATATATTATTGTAGGCATGGGTACCCAATTTAGGGAAGTGGGTATTGGGGTCATAAATAGAAGATCTGGCATCAAGGTCTTAAATCTTTGTAGTGCCTTGCTTGGAAAAACTGGATGCAAATGGGTAGAGAGCAATGCTACTGTTGCTGCAGGTTCTGTTCCTGAAAAAAACAGATGACAGGTGAAGATGCTAGTTCCTCGTCCAAATTATAAAGCTTGAGCACTTGAGCTGTTTCTCCACCAGCTGGGATGACTTACGAACCACACCAGGCCACCAGATCTAACAAAAGTGAACTGTGCCCTGAAAAACCTATAGCAGCCCTGGTTTGCCCTCCAAATATGTGAGCCTCTGGACAAAATGAGCTCAATAACTTTGACGGCGTCTTGAAGGAAAAAAGAAAATAAATAATTCTAAACACAAACACACATTTGGCAAAAAGGATGCTAAAATGGTGTTCTGAATGGTCACAGGGTGAGTGTGAGTGGTGAAAAAGAGAAGGAGAGAACACTATCCTATTGGTTATTGGTTTAGTGCATCTACTTTTGCTGGGGCTAGCAAATTAATCTAGGCTCCGGCTGTGAGGATAGTCAATGTGAATTACACTTATGGCTTACAGCAAAAAAAAAACCCATGAAGGGCAGTGCTAGGAATCCTTTCTCTGAAAGCATCACTTCCCTAAGCCAAAGATCACTAGGACTCACTGTTCCTATGTGCTTTTTCTAAAAGAAAGTTTTAGATGATTTTTTAGACGTTCAGAGTCTCCATTTGCAAATAAACTAAGACAAATTACATAAAGACCTTCGAACACTTGTACACCCATCCTGAGTAGATCCCACAAGAGAGTGTCAGATGGACAAGGACCCTGTATGTTTCACCTAGACTTCAGAGAGTTCTTTGCAGGAGAACCAAGCTCTCCTTGCCAAACTACTGATTGATACTGTCTGCTCAAATATGAGTCACTTGTTCTTTGGAGGAAAGTATAGGAGATTTTTGGAATCAACCTTATAGTTTGCCTGAAATGCTGACTCAGTGAAAAGAGGCCCTATTACACTTCTTCCACGTATTATAAGTTCTGGGTAGTCAATCTAACTTCTTTAGATCTTTTAAGACACATATAGGACTCTGTTTACAGTCAAGAAATTTAATTAGCTGAATAGTTTTAACATAAATAAGAGCAGGCACTATAAGAATTGGAAGTTTAGTTTCACACCAAGAAATGACAGTACGTATATTTACAATATTACCATGTTTCTCTGAAAATAACACAGGGTCTTATATTAATTTTTGCTCCAAAAATGCATTAGGGCTTATTTTCAGGGGATGTTTTATGTTACAGTCATGTCGTCTTCTTCTGGTTGCTGCACAATGGTGGAGGGCGGGGTTTCACTTAATTAGGGCTGATTTGGGGGATAGGGTTTGAGTCCCTAGGATATATCTTATCTTAAAAACTCCCTAATGTGTTTTAAAATTATAAATGTGGTCATGATGTTATGAAAAAGCTCTGAGGTGCTTTGTACAACTCTGTAGTTACCTGAAAGTGTCCTTAGTCAAAAGTACTTAATAAGAACAGTGTCCTCTCTGGAAGCTGTTTTGGAGCTACCAGGAGTGTCCCAAAGCAAGTGGCGGCATGACAGAGGGCACTCTTCTCATTGTAACTCAAGGTATATGTTGTTGTTTAGTCGTTAAGTCGTGTCCGACTCTTTATGACCCCATGTACCAGAGCACGCCAGGCCCTCCTGTCTTCCACTGCCTCCCGAAGTTGGGTCAAATTCATGTTGGTAGCATCAGTGACACTGTCCAACTCTGTCCAACAAGCTATATAATACCCCAAAACTGTCAGTTTTTGCTGGCCAAGAGTGAAAAAAAACCCTTCAAGTATGTTGCTTCACGTCTAGCAGTAAAAACAGAGTGGCAACAACTTGAACAACTAACAATTGGCTGCCTTTTCAAGATAGCAAAAAATATCCTGCCTGTAGTAGCCATTACAGTTTGCCAAACTGTCAACAGAGCTAGTCTGACTGCTAAACAGGAAAGATGAATAAATCTTTGGAGCCTCATCTCCAAAAGAGGAGGCCAGCCAGCAGTTGCCTCTTGCTCTTTGACCACTGGAGGGAATATGCAAAAGTATACCTTCTAGCCTCTAGCCACTTCTCAGAGAATCTCTGGGTTGTGTAGTTATTCCCACCCTGTTAAAGATAAAGGCCAACATGGTACATATGCCTTGGTTTTGAAGACAATATAGCATGGCATGGTGAGACTTAACGGACAACAAAAATCCATTGAAGCTGGTGCATTGCAAGGGCCTGTAAAAGAATAATGGCAACCTTGTTTTGTGTGTGCATATACAGTATGTATGTATCACTGATAGGGGAGAATAAAACAGCCCCTCTAACAAGCACATTAAATACTGCAGGCCAACTTGCCAGATTTCTAGAAGCATTATAAATGCACTGTAAAGAGTGAAGATTCTGAGTAGCCCTCATTCTCTTGCCTCCTTGTTTCCAATCCAAGCCACAAACTGAAAACCAGACTGCTGGTGACCATATTTTAGACAGTATAAAGCAACCAAAGACATGGAACATACTCAAGGTCTCCTGAAACTGTAATTCAGCTTTGCTAAATAGACAGTTTGCACTAGCTTCAAAGCACCAAAATAAATGCACAGCTAGAGCATGAGGAACAGTCTATATATCATGGTATGTCTGGAACAAACAATGAAAGAGTGCATTTTTTAAAGGGATGAGTCCCTAGGATATATCTTAAAAACTCCCTAATGTTTTTTTAAATTATAAATGTGGTCATGATGTTATGAAAAAGCTCTGAGGTGCTTTGTACAACTCTGTAGTTACCTGAAAGTGCTACTCCAGCAACTCCTGCATAACAATGACTATGCTTATTTCTGAACAATCACAGGGTGACATTTTTCCCTAACAGCCAGATGCAGATCATATTACTTGGAAACAAATCCTACTGATTTAATTGAATTTATTTCTATTCTGGAAAATCCTAGCCTAAGGGAGTTATCTGATTTAGCATGCTGATTTTTTTTAGTATCTTAAGTCAGACATACTGCTAGGATGCAACTCCAAGTTTTCCATTTGAAAGATAATTTTCAAAGTTATATTATGAAAGCTAAGTAGCGTGCTCCCAGTAGGAATGCTATGATTACTCACAGAACTTTGAAAATTACATTTTTTAGATTACAACTCTCAGAATGGATTAGCCACTGCGACCACTGTTTATGCTGGCTGGAGGATTCTGAAAGTGGCATTTCCAGTTATTCCTATATACTCTTTAGTTAGCATCTGAAGGATGGTCAAGTACACAAGAAAGTGAGACTGTGTGATACATATCTAGCAGCCTATTAGGGAGTTGGCATTGAGATACAGGCTTAAGATCCATCAGCAGTTAACAAGAAAATCTAATAAATGTGTAGTTTGAGCAACGAATGTCTATTCTTGAAATGGTGAGGTGAGGCACTCCCCTAGAGCCACAGGACAACTGTGGTTATGCTGTAGCAAGAGTTTTGATAAAGAACTGCAATGCATCTCAAGATGAACACTGCAGTACAGGCCTCTGTGGAAGCCTCTTTAGTCGTTTCCACCTTGAAAGCTATCATAAGATGGTAGTTTATTGGAAGGCATGTCTCAACACAGCACAATTTTCTCTCCACAAATTTGACAGCCACGGACACATGGATGAATTTAAATAATCTCCATACTGACACTGTAACCTCAAGAAAGTGCTAAGCAACACGGAAGAAGCACACTGAATGTAATAAGATGATCTAACTGAAGATCTTCTTATGCAGATATTGTCCACAGAAAGGACCAGTGAAGAATTTAAAAGGGAGTGGCGGAGGACAGAGCCATTTTGTATTCTTTGGCAAAGAGAAAGAATAAATAGCTGTAGAAAAACTTTCCATAGAATCATAGAATAATGATGTGGCCCCTTGGTCTGTAATTGTAATTGTAGTTCTTCGAATGGACCTCTGCGATTCACACCCTGGGTGATTTGCGCTTGCGTGGAGCCTCATCGGAAGATTCTAGAGCTTCTGTGGTAGCAATAAACACATTAGATTATGCCCCTCCCCACCCGTATAAGTACCTTGGCACCAATCGTCCTCTTTCAGTTGTGTCAACTGCCGCTTAATAGTAAACAAACAATTGTGTGACAGAGGGGAGGATAGGCG